CATAAGTACAACTTAATCTTAATCTATCCCATAGACAGCCATGTTAAACCTGATTGGTATATCTAATATATATTGTTTAAATAGTTGCAGTTTTCTTAATAATCATCGGAAAATTGATTGGAAATTATATGTATGTAGCTGACATGATTTCCCAGCTGGTAGATAAGTATTGAAAGCAATTCGACCGAAACAAATTTATGAAAATGATTCTTGCAAGAGTTAACTAGCATACAAGTCTATGGGACTTTCACTAATGATGACTCGCTTATGGCCAACTACTGCATATTGCGGCTGTCTGGACCAGGCAATCCAGTGCTCAGCAGCATGAGCATCGATCTACAAAATTGGGATACGATGACATGTGCCACCACGTCAGCGGGCCTGGCCACCTGTTTCCCTTGGTCGCCTCCTGTGACGAAATCTAACCGGACCTTCACGGGTCGGGATCTCTGAACGTCTACGAGTAATTAATAAAAATATGTGGTGGATTGTTTATTGATCACTTGAATGCCTGGTTTGTATACAGGTGTAGGGTGCTACCGGTTGTGCAGGACATGCTTACTCATTTCGTGAACACCTGGTGTCCGCTCTGCTTTGTTCACATGATGTTTCACGCAACCTCCAATAACACTCTGACGAAAGGGGCCGACCGGGTGGCCTAAATGTTAAAGTGTCTGCTCTTCAGGCTGAGGACCCGGGATCGATTCCCTTCAGTGCTACAACGTGTGAAGCCCATTTCTGGTGTTGACTGCCGTGATATTGCTAGAATATTGCTAAAAGCGGCGTAAAACCATACTCACTCACTCTGCCAGAAGAGGATAAGAAGTCTTATAAAGAAAGAAAGTTAGCATCTTTTTACAATAGTTTACAGAAATGGTAGCATAATGTCTAAATCCTGTATCTAATGGTTAAGTATTCAAAGCCCTAAATTGATGCCCGACACTGATACTGATGCCAAAATATTTCAAATTTTGCTTTCAAGATGGATTGTCGATTCTACTGGTTCGTATGCCAACAGTATCTATCTATCAGGTAATTAGAAACCATATATATATCATAACTATCCCTACACTTGCACTAAAACTGCAAACCAGGATCCATTGGTTGTGAGTTCGAATCCAAGATTCTGACCCACTGGTATATATACTTAAACATATTGATGCCCATTCCAGATTGCACATAGAGACTGTCGTTTTAAAAGCCATACTTAGCCATGGCTGTGTTTAAGACTTTGAGAAATGTTAATTTCAGAGAAACGTCTCAGCACTAGTTTTCTTTGTTTCGCTGTGTGTAGAAATCCTGGTTTAAAAGTTCAAGCCTAAAGAGATACAGAAAGAGATCTCGTCCCTGTCTTATCCCCTATCTGTATGGTGTCATACATCTTTTGACATATTTTGGTAAGATGCGGTTGGGAATCTAAGCACCCACATTTCGCTGTTAACTTTACTAACGGTCGACTCTTATCATGTAATGTGACGTGAGTCGTTCCACAAACAATCAACTGTACAGCTTATGGTTAAAGCTCAGAGCTACACGCTGCCAATGTTCACGTTTCAGGAGTGCTGTTGTTTGTGGCGGTGTTGGTGATTATGATGATACCAGTCTGCGGTGGACGTCGTCATCAACACTCTCTCCACCACCCCGATGACACGACGCTTGAGGTTGACCAAGAAGACAGCCCAACGTGATCGGGAACGCTTGTTTTAACCATATACCCAATTTGGAACAAACATTGTTTTTAGAGAAGTATATTTGTCTTGTTATGATTTCGACAACTATGCCCCGGAAAGCAACAGAGGAAAATCACTTCGATCACCTCTGGCTTGAATACACAGTGGTATGAAATTCCAAAAGACAATAATATGAGTATCACGTGGCTGTCACATGACCTGACTAGATCATGATGTCATAAATGGATCTATATCCGTTCGCCGTCATGTTCAAGTCATGCATATTTCTATTAACTACCTGTCTTCACGAGCTGTCGCGTGGCAAGATCTATACATCCTGCAGGGTCTGGCGTTAAAGCAATATTACTCAGGTATGAGTGAGTGAGTGAGTTTAGTTTTACGCCACACTCAGCAATATTCCAGTTACATGGCGGCGGTCTGTAAATAATCGAGTCTGGACCAGACATTCCAGTGATCAACAGCATGAGCATCAATCTGCGTAATTGGGAACCGATGACATGTGTCAACCAAGTCAGCGAGCCTCACCACCCGATCCCGTTAGTCGCCTCTTACGACAAGCTGCCTTTAGTGGCAAGCATGGGTTGCTGAAGACCTATTATACCCCGGATCTTCACGGGTCCTCAGGTATGATGAATGAGACGAGTTTACGCCACGAGTGAGTTTAGTTTTACTCCGCTTTTAGCAATATTCCCCCGGTGTATGGGGGCACCAGAAATGGACTTCGCACATTGTCCATTGAACCGAAAACCCGGGTCTTCGGCGTGACAAGTGAATCCTTCAACTACTAGGCTAGCCAGCCAACCACTTACGCCAAGAAGGTAAAGGTATAATTGTAGTTGACCCGAGTGATTGTGTGTTGGCTAGCTCATCCGACAACTGTTATTAACTGTACGACTCTCGCGACATAGTTGCCAGTTAAAATTTGGACACAACTGATTTGTGAGGGTCGTTTTCAGAACATACTTGTGCCCCTCATAGATTCATTCACAGGGGTTCGAATCAATGTTTGGACAATATTTTTTTTTAAATAAAAATCTAGACCTTTGCAGTGATATATTGTTTTTATATGCTATCATTAACATACTTTTCAAATGTGAACCAAATCGGTGAAGAAGTAAAGATTTTAGAAAATTATACCGCTACACTATTATATAGTATACCCAAGGGGTGACACTTCCGATGCTAAAAACCTGACCGAGAACCGGACAGCCCGACTCTTTTAACGTGCGATGCTTACGTATTTCACAAAAACGTGTGTTGAGCTTGCAGGCCATTCTTTTACCGTTCTGCTCATCGTGTGCAATTTGTCCAACTGCATTACACATGTGACCACTGACCCTTAACGTTTGTTGGTTCGAAAAACACTTTCGCTGAAAGGTAGATGTGTGTGTCGCATACGCGACAGAAACAAAGAATTAAATATAGTTTATATGCCATTCTGGAATTATTTGAGACATGGTAACCCATACTTGTCGTAAGAGACGACTTATACGGGATCGGATGATCAGGTTCACTGAATTGTCATCGGTTCCCAATTCCGTCGATCGATGATCATGCTGCTGATCACTGGCTTGTCTGGTCCAGACTCGATAATCTAAAGACAGCCGCAATATAGCTGGAATATTGCTGCGTGCGGCGTAAAACAACACACCAACTAACCACCCAATGTTTGAGACATACCGACAAACATACGCTACCTATATTGTTCAGTTGAGAGGATGGTACGCTTTAGCATCCGGGCTCAAAACACAAATCAGCGTAATATATACCAGTCAGCTATATGGCCTTGTTCTGTAAATAATCGAATCTGGACAAGACAATCCAGTGATCAACAATATGGGCATCGATCTACGCAGTTGGGATGCGGTGATATGTGTCAACCAAGTCAGCTAGCCTGACCACCCGATCACGTTAGTCGCCTCTTACAAGCATGGGTTACTGAAGATTAATTCTAACCCGGATCTTTACAGGATATAGAGGCATAAAAAACGATCAAAAAAAACTGATCAAGATGGTCACCGGCTGGTCAGTCTGTGTGACTTGACGGTTTGGCATCACTGTGTTTCGATGGCATAACAGAACAGAATTTTTATTACGCTCAGGCCGGGATACTCGGCATAAGATGTACAAATATACAGTTGAGAATACATGGGATGGCGGGATGGTTTACGTGGAAGATTGTGCAGTGTTCATATTGGTATTACAAAATATGCACATTTGTTTTTTAAAACACTAATTCGTTTACAGTTAAACAATTCATTAAATCTTACCACATTGGTTTTTTAACATAATGGTTTGGGATATATGTTTTCCGATGATGTTTGAAGAAAGGGCAGAGAAAAATGTAATGAAATTCATCGCCAACATCACACTTCATCATTCTTCAGGTGGAACTTTGTACCACCTACCTACGTCTATGGCTAAACGCTGGCAGGAAGTTCTAAATAAGAGAAACTTAAGAGCCAAGGAGAAAGGGATATATTTGTCAAGGACAAGTCCAGTTTTAAATACGCGATAAGTGCCTACAGACTCGTGCTAGTTCTATTCGGACACTTGACGTCATTTCCATAGACTTACATGTTATTTCAGTGTAGCATAAATAATTTTCATGAAGTGAGTTTAGGATGGATCTTTGTAAAATTGGACAGGCAAATGTGAAATCATCTCTGCTCTGTGCACATAATTTCAGTTCAACTTTCCGACCACTACGTATGGTTCCACAATGCACAATCCCATAGGCCGCCATGTTAAAGGAGTTCCCGGCACTGTACATATGTTGGTTAAATTGTTGTCATTCAATAAATAAGCAACGGAAAATTAAACAAAACATAATCATGTGATTGTAGGTAAGATGATTCCTCACAAATGTGCAAAATTTGACTTGGATCTTATGAAAATTAAATTCTTGAACATTATTTATGCTACATTAAATTAACATGTAAGTCTATGGAAGTTACTTCAAGTGTCCGAATATAACTGGCACGGGTCTGGATATAGCAACTTGAAATCTCTACGTACCATGTTTGAGTCGCTATATCATGTAACCTTAAGGAAGCAATCGATTTAATTTCATTGGGAAAGACAGCTTGTTACTTGTTGGTCCCTGCCTGGTGCTCGGCATTAATGGGTTCAACAAGGACTGGTCGGCTCGGGAGTCAGTATAATGTGTCTGAGTGGGGTATTCATGCTTCACTGCGGCATGGTATCTCAGTGGGCTAGCACTGTAAAAAAACAGCTTAAGTCTGGGCTAGTACAAGCAGCCACACCTACACATACACACGCATGCACGTCGTCATATGAGCGAAATATTCTCATATGGTATAACACTCTTGGCAGCTGTTGTTAGATAGGACAGATAGTTTAGCCCAGAAATATACCATACGATATTTGATAGCGTTAATTAGGGTAACCCTTTCAAGTTCTCCAAATAAAATGTACAACAGCGTGCTTCTCTTAACGGAAAGTCAGTGTCCCTGGTGTAGCTGCAGTATTGGTGACTGTGCCGTTAAACAACATTCACTCACACCCATCATTCACACATTTATTTGGGTAACACGTCGACCTTTGCACTCATATTTGAATATCACAAACGCTCAGGGCTATGGTAAATGCTTTTGAAGCACATTATCACTAAAGGCTTGTTCCTATCTCGAACCTGAAACGCAATTCAAAAGGCATATTTGAGTCAAAAATAAATCTGACAAATAGAATTAAAACGCGGTGGGGTAGCCTAGTGGTTAAAGCGCTGGCTCGTCACGCCGAAGACCCGAGTTCGATTCCCCACATGGTCACAATGTGTGAAGCCCATGTCTGGTGTGATATTGCTGGAATATTGCTAAAAGCAGCGTGAAACTAAACTCCCTCTCTCATTAAAAGTATAAAGACTGTGCAAAAGTGAGGTGAGGTGAGGTGGAATTGGGTTTAACGTCGTGCTTGAGAATATTTCGCTCATATGACGACGTGCATGCGTGTGTATGTGTATGTGCGGCTGCTTGTACTAGCCCAGACTTAAGCTGGTTTTATTGTGCTAGTTCACTGAGATACCATGCCGCAGTGAAGCATGATTACCCCACTCAGACACAGTATACTGACTCCGAGCCGACCAGTCCTTGTTGTACCCATTAATGCCGAGCGCCAGGCAGGGACCAACAAGTACCATATTTTAACGTCTTTTGGTATGACGCGGTTGGGGATCGAACCCGCGACCTTCCGCTCTCCGGGCGGACGCTCTAACCACTACACCACGGAGGTGGTCTCGACGTATTAGGTGTTCAAAGATACCCGTGAAGATCGGGTTAAAAATGACCCATGCTTGTCGTAATGGGCTACTAACGGGATCGGGTGGTCAGGCTCGCTGACTTGGTTGACACAAGTCATCGTATCCCTGCGAAGATCAATGCTCATGCTGTTGATCACTGGATTGTCTGGTCCAGACTCGACTATTTACAGACTGCCACCATATAGCTGAAATATTGCTGAATGCGGCGTAAAACAACAAGCAGACAAACGCCCTACAATTTTTACCCGGAATCAACTGTTTCCACGTCCACAGCGTATTCTGTCTTGATATGGTACTCGTTCTTAGACTTGATCAGCTGTGGCACCACGAAACCCACCAACACAGACAGGAACATTAAACCACCTAAAACAGTAGAGCATTTAGAAATAGTCCCCATCACTTTATTTTATAATATGATAAGGTAGAAACTACCGAAATGATACATATCACCGATATTGGAGAGGTTTTGGGGTTACCATGAATAGAGCTCGCTGTTTCTGGCACGCCCAAGGGACGCGACTCTGCACAGCGGATTTAGGTGTTGACATACCCTTGGGACACATTACGAAACACATCTGAAGCAGGGTTGCGTAATGATGCGAATAAAGGCATTAGCTCATTTGTCTGTATCACGAATGGTATGACAGGTTCAGCTTACCTTGCACTTGAACATCGATACCTCTGCCCACGGGCGGTGGGGTAGCCTAGTGGTTAAAGTGTGCGCTCCCTCCCTCCCTCCCTCACCCAAACCCACATACTCACCCACCCACTCACTCACTCACTCACTCACTCACCCAAACACCCACCCACCCACCCACTCACTCACTCACTCACTCACTCACGCACCCACCTACTAACTATTTATGCTAGGTATGCTTACACTATTCGCAAAACCCCTTGTCATCACTAATTTTCAGTGATCCATTCATATATGTATTTTCTGCCTTACGCACCCAAAATGGAAACTGGTTATTCCCAGGCTTTGACATTCTACATTTTTCAGTGAGTTAGTGGGTGAGTGAGTGAGTTCATTTTTACGCCACTTTTAGCAATATTCAAGCAATATCACGACAGGAGACACCAGAAATGGGTTTCACACATTGTACCCATGTGAGGAATCGAACCCGGGCCTTCAGCTTCAGCTTTAAGTACTCGGCTACCACCACCGACCAATATATATTTCAGTGATTACGTTACATTGTTCCCTGACCCATAACCTAAGACAATATAAGCGTAAAAGTAACGATCCACCCTGTACAGAGTTATGAGAGACTTTAAAATTATAGACCGCCTCCGTGGTGTAGTGGTTAGAGCGTCCGCCGGAGAGCGGACGGTCGCGGGTTCGAATCCCGACCGCGTCATACCAAAAAGACGTTAAAATACGGTACTTGTTGGTCCCTGTCTGGCGCTCGGCATTAATGGGTACAACAAGGACTGGTCGGCTCGGAGTCAGTTTAATGTGTCTGAGTGGGGTATTCATGCTTCACTGCGGCGTGGTATCTCTCTGAGCTAGCACTATAAAACCAGCTTCAGTCTGGGCTAGTACAATCAGCCGCACATACACATACACACGCATGCACGTCGTCATATGAGCGAAATATTCTCAAGCACGACGTTAAACCCAATTTCACCTCACCTCACCTTTTCATTCAGGAAAGCGTCTCTCTGACGTTTACACATTTTTCATTTTAAGATGTACTCATATACCAAAGGTGGCAGTACACACTACATCTGTGTCGGTCTGTCTCACCTGCAAGGTACATACTGTAGTCGTATGATCCTGTTAAATCCACAAACCATCCTGAAAATGAAAAAAAATGTTTGTACAACTGCAGTTTGCTCAAGACAGATTTCAAATCACAAACTTACTTCTGAAGTATGATGTTGTTTGGTTGTTGTCTTAAGTTGTTTAACGCCGCACTCAGCAATATTACAGCTACAAAACTGCGGCGGTCTGTGAGTAATCGAGTCTGAATCAGACAATCCAATGATCAACAGCATAAACATCGTTCTACACAACTGGGAACCGATGGCATGTCGCCTCTTACGCAAGCATGGTTGTGGAGATAAATTCTAACCCGGACCTTCACGGGTTATTGTTTAAGCCACATTTAGCTATGTCAGTTATATAAAATGCTGTCAATTATGGACTGTGAACGACACAACCAAACGACTCACACCATGAACATCAATATACGTACATGGGAGACTTGGAAGTCACAAGCAAAATGAGAGACTAGTAAGTCAAAATCAAAACAATTTTCAAAATATGTACATTGTGTTCATATTACATATTGTGTTAAAGAACTTAATACCCCCAAAAAAGAAATAAGGAAATAAAGTAAAATACAACAACAACAAACAAACACCAAAAAAACAAAAGAAAACCAACAAAAAACACCACAAAACAAAAAACGAACAGACAGACAAAATACAACAAAAAACAAAAACAAAAAACGTTCTTTTAAGTATATAAGTTTTTACGTCTAATATGTTACCTTGTTTGAAAGAAATATCGGTCAAAGTTTTAACCGACAGGACATTTGCAAATATCTGAAGCGAAGTTTGTGAACACTCTCTCTCACACTCACCTGCTAGCGGTGGCGCCACAAGCAAGCCAAGCCCAGCACAAATCAAAGTCACCCCGAACGCTGTCGCCAGCCTTGTCACACCAACACATTCTATTGTCAGGATAGGGGTAAGAGCATACGATCCGCCCAGGTACGTTCCGATGAGAATAACAGCTATCATCTGAGTAACATATGTTTTGGCAAAGAGAGGCATTAAACAAAATATTGTACCGGAAGTCAACAGAACTCCGTTGTAAATGATCCACACGTTCTGCTCGCTGGCGTGTGAAAACGCCCCCAGCAGGATTCGCGACACCATGTTGGCTGGGCCGTTCACTGACAGAACATAGGCGACCTTTTGAGGAACTGTTCCATAGTACTCACAGAAGGCTGCTAAATGAATGTTAAAGATACCACAAGATGCGTTCACCAGAATCTGATTCACACAAAGCACAACGAAAGCCAAGTTCTTGAAAATATCCAACTGACTTTCAGTTGTCCCACGACTCTGAGTAATGGTTCCTTTTTTAGGAGGTTCACTGTCCCCTCTGAGGAATTTACTTTCTTGCTCAATGTTCTCATTGAACGTAACCCTTGGGTGATTACCATCATCGCTTGCATTTGCTTTGATCAAACTGCAGGAATTGACATCCTCTGAAAGTCCTTCACGTCCCTGTTTGCAAAACTTTGAGAGATTTCGTCCTCTTTTTCTTTCGTGTATCGGAAACATAAGAGCTCCAAACAGGGTTATATGAAAACAGATTGCCGCCAAAAAGATCAGACACTCACGCCATGCATAGTTGTCCAGTAGGTATCGGAACAGTAATGGCGCGACCAGGAATCCGGTGCCGGCGGCTGAGAGGGCCACGCTTGTCACAAAAATCCGTTTCTTTTCAAAGTAGTAGCTGACAATGACGACACAGGGTGTGTAAGTTAATCCTAATCCAAGACCTGTGTGGAAACAGACAAGGATGAGTGGTGGACACAAATCATAAATATAATACTAGTAATAATCTTTGACAGCCACAACACATTTATCTGTGTCGGTGTGTGGTCATGTGCATATAGCTAGCCCAGGTCACAAATCAGGTGAATTTAGCAACGTTGGGCTCGGACAGGCCTTGGATGGGTGACTGTGTTCAGCAGCTTGAATCCTGAGAGTTTCTTGGACTTCTGTCCTGCCCCACAACGAAGCACACGTGACACATGTGGTCTCACCGCAAGTAAATTGCCTCTGTTCACCCAGCAGTAAATGGGTACCCGGTGGGATAAGTCATATGACTGTTAACCTTTTAGCACCACACAGGCAGCTTGGGTTATCCAGGGAAATAATGGGTCAGCGCTTTTATCATGCACAGGTGCGTGGAAATAGGCGCTTTATAAATAGCCATTATTTATTATTTTTAATAACGGAAGTGAGAACAATCCAGAGGATTCCGGGTAGGAACATAGGCCTCAACGAAATGGGTCGGGTGTACACGCTGACGTGGCTGTCCGTGTCCCATCGCACCCCAAATTCGTTGATTGATGTTCTTTGTGTCAATCACGAAAGTCTCTGGTATTTACAGATTAACGTTATATGTCTGGGTTATTGCTAAGTTGCCTCGTTGAATAACAAACAAGTAACAGTATTCGACGATGTCAAGTATGGTACTTTCTCACCTTCTTTCTCACTTTCTTCTAATGAAGTGAAATGATAAACAGGCATACCATCATTCAGTCGACAAAGACAAGCTTCCATTGATGAGAGTCAAATCTTTAAGCCGTGCCCTGAACGGACCCTTAACTATTTAGGTACTTCCACCAATGCCATGTCCCGGAGTAAAACTTACCGGCAATAATTCCGAAAAATACAAAAAATACGGAGAGAGATGTTGCAAAACTACTTCCAGCCAGACCTCCCGCGAGGAGCAGACCTCCGAGCATCACGGAAGTCCGACAGTCGAAGTAGGAAGTGATGAGACTCGCCAGTGGACCTGCAAGTAAACGTGGTCTTCAGACGATGCTATGGAAGATCGTACAACTTCATATTAGGGACGACATTCTCAAACAGAAAGTTGAGCCATAACAGTAAACTTACATCTGTATTACCAGTGTTCTATTGGTACCACAACGTTACAAGACAATGGATTCATATGCTCTCAGCCCTGTAGCCCTTTGACGAGTAGAGTGAGATGTGAAAGACATGTTGCTGAGATATCCAGTATGAATTCGTGACACCTGGCGTTCCTGTTCAGAGCGTTTCCTTTGTGTTTCCCGCTGGTAGTGTTGGAAATAAAATTCAAAAACAGTATGCCTTGGCCAACCAAACGCGTGGTTGTCATTGCTCTCATTTGCTCCATTCCAAATGCACCATTTTCTATCTCATTTAAGCCTGTTAAGGTTCGACTGAATGGCTATTTCCTATATACAAACACGACATGTCAGTGTAAACTTTCTTTTGCCCTTCAGTATTGTTGAACCATGGCTGCTTGTTCTTATTACGTTATACAAGCGTATAATCTTGATTCAGTACACAAAGAAGGACTACCTTCCGAATGACCAATCCAGTGACCTTCACCTCAAAAGTCTTCACGAGAAACTCGAGCGTCATGAGGATTAAATTTCACCCTTTTAGAGTGAACGCAACCTCGAGGTATCGTGGACATAACACTTAACTATAGTGAATGACTTTGATAGTGAATTAGACCTTCAACCTAAGTGAAAAGTATTTGAAGAACATTTTCTGACGGTAACGCAACTTAACGTAACGTAAAGCAATGTAACGTAACCTTACCTAACGTAACAACAAGAAATGAGCTTCACACATTGTACCTATGTGAGGAATGTTGAACAGAGATGTCTGTTGTTGGTAAAAGCAGGGTATGAAAATCCCCAAATTTCAGCAAGCCCACGGGGCTGGTTAGATGTAAAACTTGCCAGCCCTGACAAAAAATTTACTAAATTAATTATACATGTCCAAATTTTAACCCGACCGTCGGGCAGGTGAGTTTGAAATCTGGAAGTCCGTGTTGAAAATAACCCGTCCCAAGCGGTCGGGCAGGCAGGTATTTCGAACGCTGGTAAAAGGTGACTTTGAGTGATGTATTAAGAAATCGTTATAGAAACAGAAGGTGCATCACCGCGCAGGGTGCTGTTGTACAAAACAGACTTAACGCTAAGACTATCTGAAGTCTGTGTAAAGGTATGGGAGTTACGGTCACCTTACCGCTAAGACTACCTGAAGTCTATGTAAAGGTATGGGAGTTACGGTCACCTTAGCGCTAAGACTACCTGAAGTCTGTGTAAAGGTATGGGAGTTGCGGTCACCTTAGCGCTACGACTACCTGAAGTCCATGTTAATATATGGGAGTTACGGTCACCTTAGCGAAGACTACCTTACGTCTGTGTTAATATATGGGAGTTACGGTCACCTTAGCGCTAAGACTACCTGAAGTCTATGTAAAGGTATGGGAGTTACGGTCACCTCAGAGCTAAGACTACCTGAAGTCTATGTAAAGGTATGGGAGTTACGGTCACCTTAGCGCTAAGACTACCTGAAGTCTGTGTTAATATATGGGAGTTACGGTCACCTTAGCGCTAAGACTACCTGAAGTCTATGTAAAGGTATGGGAGTTACGGTCACCTTAGAGCTAAGACTACCTGAAGTCTATGTTAAGGTATGGGAGTTACGGTCACCTTAGCGCTAAGACTACCTGAAGTCTATGTAAAGGTATGGGAGTTACGGTCACCTTAACGCTAAGACTACCTTAAGTCTGTGTAAAGGTATGGGAGTTACGGTCACCTTAGCGCTAAGACTACCTGAAGTCTATGTTAATATATGGGAGTTACGGTCACCTTAGCGAAGACTACCTTACGTCTGTGTTAATATATGGGAGTTACGGTCACCTTAGCGCTAAGACTACCTGAAGTCTATGTAAAGGTATGGGAGTTACGGTCACCTTAGAGCTAAGACTACCTGAAGTCTATGTAAAGGTATGGGAGTTACGGTCACCTTAGCGCTAAGACTACCTTACGTCTGTGTTAATATATGGGAGTTACGGTCACCCTAGAGCTAAGACTACCTGAAGTCTATGTAAAGGTATGGGAGTTACGGTCACCTTACCGCTAAGACTACCTGAAGTCTGTGTAAAGGTATGGGAGTAACGGTCACCTTACCGCTAAGACTACCTGAAGTCTATGTTAATATATGGGAGTTACGGTCACCTTAGCGCTAAGACTAACTTACGTCTGTGTTAATATATGGGAGTTACGGTCACCTTAGCTAAGACTTCCTTACGTCTGTGTTAATATATGGGAGTTACGGTCACCTTAGCGCTAAGACTACCTGAAGTCTATGTAAAGGTATGGGAGTTACGGTCACATTAGAGCTAAGACTACCTGAATTATATGTAAAGGTATGGGAGTTACGGTCACCTTAGCGCTAAGACTACCTTACGTCTGTGTTAATATATGGGAGTTACGGTCACCTTACCGCTTAGACTACCTGAAGGCTGTGTTAAGGTATGGGAGTTACGGTCACCTTAGCGCTAAGACTACCTGAAATCTATGTTAAGGTATGGGAGTTACGGTCACCTTACCGCTAAGACTACCTTAAGTCTTTGTTAAGGTATGGGAGTTACGGCCACCTTAGCGCTAAGACTACCTGAAGTCTATGTTAAGGTACGGGAGTTACGGCCACCTTAGCGCTAAGACTACCTGAAGTCTATGTTAAGGTATGGGAGTTACGGTCACCTTACCGCTAAGATCGCTTCATACAACAGCACCCTGAACGCAAAATTTACTTTACCTGCTAAAAACATGAGCGAGGCATACACTGACGTGACCCAGGCTGTGAGGCCCACACTCTGCTGGAAGTGCTCCAACAGAACCACCTGGAACATCCCACCCATGTAACACACTCCTGACAGCAGGAACCCGTTCATATAGGACGCCACCAGAACCACCCACGCCCAGCCTCCGTCTACGTCCTTCTTCGTCATGGCGGTGTCTGCCGAGATGTCACCTGTGAAATGAAACAAGCTCATTTCACCAGTGCCAACCTGCGTGATATGTGAACAAATACAGATTATGAATGCGAGAAAAATGAATGAACGAGGAGATAAATTATTTTAAAACTGTGAAACTTGACAACATGTCTACAGCGCATGTAGTGCTATCCCTCCCTTCAGCCCAGGGGACGGGGGGTAGCTTGGTGGTTAAAGCGCTCGCTGACGCCGAAGATCGGGGTCCGATTCCCCACATGGGTACAATGTGTGAAGCCCATTTCTGGTGTCCCCCCGCCGTGAAATTGCTGGAAAATTGCTAAAAGCGGCGTAAAACTAAACCGACTCACTCACTCTTCAGCCAATATAGCTGGAATACTGCTGAGGTCGACGTTAAACAACGAACCAACCCTCCCTCTCGTTACATAACACGAGTCCTACCTATCGCAGCGAGTCTGTCTGTGTCAGAGGTTTCACATTTACAGGATATCATGTGAAACAAACCGCATGTCGTGAGAGATTGGAAACAGTCTGTGAGTTGAGAAAAATCATAGTCACGTCTGTAGTATATCGGCTTTATCGTGACAGAAAGCAGATTAAAAAATAATATAGTACGTGTTTTACTTTAAGAACCATTCTTATAAATTAATCGAAGTGGTTTTCTGAAATGCGTCGCTAACGGGAATACATCTACGCTTTGGACTATGACAGCCAGGGCCTCGAGCTCCTTTCACAAAGCACTAAGGTCTTAGTAAAGGTAACTTCAAAAAGGAGGGAATTGACGTTTAATGTTAGTGATTAGGTGAGCATAGTTTTACGCCGCTTTTAGCAATATTCCCGCAATATCACGGTGGGGGACACCAGAAATGGGCTGCACGCATTGAACCCATGTGGGGATTCGAACCCGGGTCTTAATCACTTGGCGAACCCATCGTCCCAAGGTCTACTCTTAGGTCATAGTTAAGAGCAAACATGTTGAATCGAAAATCCCTGTGTGTGTTTGTCCTGAAAAGCCACACTCAACATTATTCAGGCTACATGATAGTGTTCTGTCAGTATTCCACTATTACTTTGTTGTTTAACGCCGCGCTCTGCAATTTTTCAGCTATATCACTGTGGTGGGTAAACAATCGAATCAGAAGGACCGCCTCCCTGGTGTAGTGGTTAGAGCGTCCGCCCGGAGAGCGGAAGGTCGCGGGTTCGATCCCCGACCGCGTCATACCAATAAGACGTTAAAATATGGTACTTGTTGGTCCCTGCCTGGCGCTCGGCATTAATGGGTACAACAAGAACTGGTCGGTTCGGAGTCAGTATAATGTGTCTGAGTGGGGTATTCATGCTTCACTGCGGCATGGTATCTCAGTGAGCTAGCACTATAAAACCAGCTTCAGTCTGGGCTAGTACAAGCAGCCGCACATACACATACACACGCATGCACGTCGTCATATGAGCGAAATATTCTCCAGCACAACGTTAAACCCAATTACACCTTACCTCACATGGCGAAATGTGTGAGATATTGATATTGACAGTCAGTAGTACCGTTGAACTATGCACGCAATGACAAATATAACAATCGTTATGTCCTCACCATCCGTCAGCCTCGGCATACACATTTTTATGAAAACTGTGGAATATAGTTAATAGCGTCATTTCTCGTCCCTTCAGAGCGTCAATGAGAGACACGTATTGTTCAAATAACTCTACTGTTGTAACAATCGTTATATCCGATGATAAGATGCTTATCATTGACTTTGTAACATTTTCAGGTCACTAATGAGGTATGAAAATGAAAAAATGTCTCGGCTTCAACAACTGTGGACAGAATGTTTCCATTTTTCATTTATGCAGTTGCCTGTGTAGCATGACCATGTGTACAATATCAATTATAAGCATCTTCTATTTAGCAAGTAAGTGATTTTAGTTTTACGCCGCTTTTAGCAATACTCCAGCAATATCACGGCGGGGGACACCAGAAATGGGCCTCGCACGTTGTACCCATGTGTGGAATGGAACCCGGGTCTTCGGCGTGACGAGCGAACCCCCCCCTCTACTGTTAGGTCTTTGTTGACATATGGATGAGCGATCGTGCTGTTTTCTCTTTTCCTTTGCTTTATTAACTTGTAATTGCGTGAACATTTTAGATAATCTGTGGGATCAATAAATACAAACGGCCCTGTCAAGAATACACAAGCCAGCATAATTACGATGCTCACAACGTCTAAAACATGACTCATGTCAACAGTCCTGCTAGTAATGGATTCTTTGAACGTTGTATGCTCGTGACTTGGGTCATTGATCAATAGCGGTAAACACCACGAACATTCTGCGGGGCATATTCCACCGTTTGTAGATGTAAATCGACATGGCAAATGGATATCCCAGTCTTGACTATCCTCCGAAAGAGATTCCTGTTGGCGTAAAGGGACAAATATACTCATGGAAACAAATAAGGGAACACGTGAAAGTACAAGTGTTCCTTTATTCTTTCCCATGTTTCTTCACAAGGTATGGATTGCACTGTGAATGAAATTCTGGACATAAATAAAGAAACACTTGTACTACCATGTGTTCCCTATTTAATGTCTATGAGTATATGTGTGAAGGTCACCTTTTGTTTGTTAATAAACGTCCCACTCAGCAATATTCCAGCTATATGACGACGGTCTGTAAATAATAGGGTGTGGACCAGACAATCCAGTGATCAACAGCATGATCATCGGTCTACGTGATTAGGACACGATGACATGTGTCAACCAAGTCAGCGAGTTTGATCTCCCGATCCCTTCAGTCACTCACAAGCATGGGTTGGTGAGTACCAAATAACCGGGATCTTCACGGGTCAGTTGATCACTGAAGATCAACGATAACACCAGGTGTTCCAAAAAGGATAAGCATGTCCCGTCATGAAAATTTGTTAGGCCAAACCGTGGTGCAAACGAACGCAACCAAAACAAACAATTAGAGAATGAGTCTTGGCACATCACGGTTTTTGCAACGTTCATTATCCTGTTTGTTTCAGTCAGTAGCCGTACGTTACATCACCACATCGCATACAGACGATTCAGCTGTGTAGTAGATGCCTGCTTTCACAATGAACACACCACATGATCTACTAAACAAAAACTGGCGTTTAACGATGAATGTATTGCTAACCAGTCCGTTAAAGTAAGTGAGTTGGGTTGTACATATGTTTAGCAATATTCCAGCAATATCTCGGAGGGGGACATCATAAATGGCTTCACATTGAGGACAGATTTGGGGAATTGAACTTCGGCGTGATGAGCGACCGCTTTAACCTTGAGACTATCCTGCCACTACGGAGAAGCAGTAAGATAAGATGAACACACTTTGTATGCAAACCGAAAATGAGATCAAAGATTATCGTGACTTACCTTCCGCACGTATCGAATCTGCTCTGGACTACAGGGCGACGAAGGACGAATATGCTTTTCAGCGTAACAGCTGGACTATTTTCATATTCATGTCAGTCATGTAACACGACTCTTCAGCTTATATTAGCAGTATATCACATCGTTGCTTTGGTATTGCGTTATTTCTGTTGAAACTATGTTGATGTTCATAACATTTTGTTTTGACGATACATGACAATACACTTGTCAGGAATGTACCCCTCTAATGTAAGCATGGCATGGAAGCTACTGTACTAACGAGCTTCTGCAGTTCATTATGTTTCTGAGTAATTAGTTTATTAATAAGAATAATAATGAGTGAATTTGTAACGCGCCAATATCCACGCAAGCTGGTATGCTCATGGCGCTACAAGTAAAGTTATTTGGTTGAGAGTCTAGACAAAGTACTTCTTAAATAAAAACGTTTTGAGGAGAGTTTTGAAGAAGTGCAGGCTTGGGGCTGTTTTTAGATCTTCAGGCAGAAAATTCCATAGAACAGCTGATTGGTAGGCAAATGATCTGAATTCAAATCGTTTTAGTCTGTATCTGGGCTATGTGCACAGAATTTGGGATTGGGATCTAAGAGTGTTATTCAATAAAGGGGCCACATGCCCATTATACAGTTACATGAGTCATATCATGAAAGTGAAAGTCTGGAGCGCCATAACACTTTGCAAGGTCAATAAACATACACTTAATGGATTGTACAAGTTTTTTTAAGGTAATTGTTACGTTGTTTGAATGCAAGGAACAAAAACTTCGCTAAACGATTTAAAATACCTGAATCGTGTGATGTGCAAAGTAATACCAGTTTATCATAAGAAGGATGAGTACAATAGAGCTCAGGCAAAATTGTATGTCTCAGATTATAGTGAAAAGGACATTCCAACACATGTGCTATTCCGTCTCAATTACAGGTATAACACAAAATGGACATAATCTAGAATTTCTTGTCAGAGCAGATATTGTTCCAGACTCTATCAATAACTGATGACCTGAACAGCGAAATATACTCAGAGCCTTACGATAAGCTGGTACATCCAGAGAAGTTAAATACACCTCTCTCTCAAAAGAAAGTTTAATGTCACAAAATAAATTCAGTTTATGATAGGAATAAATACGTGTAAACCAAGTTTGTGTATCGATATCAATACATCTATTTCTGAAGGTTCCTATAAAAGACGAAAGATCTAAGTCTAGTTGGTTTTACCATACATATCCAAAACCATACTTGTCTATTAGCTGTTTTTCTGTTTTTCTTGTAACGCCCAACAAGGTATTCCAATTTCTGCTAATCTATGTTGATAAAGATAAGCATTTGATAAGATTATATTGTCATTTTGTTGAATCAAACGTACCCAAAAACTGATAATTCTTACAAATTGATTTACTTTCACTGAATAACGACCTTATTCACCACGAGCTAAAATATTTGGAACTCCTCTTGGAAGATGCAATATTTCCTTTAAGAATTTATCACGTACATTAAGAATATCTTGAGAAGGATGGAAACCCCAAACTTCCGTAGCATACATCAATATAGGTAATATCTTCACATCGAAAAGTTTTAATAGCACATCTAATGGCAAATTAGTAAACATAT